CCGGAATACTCCTATAAAAAAGACGTGTTACTAACAGTTGGCTAGTAACACAGCAATTATCAGTAGCTTTGCGGAACACAATCGTTTGATCCGACTCGCAAAAGCATTATCCCAGGATGGGCACATCCTGAGGAACAGATCGGCGCGCAAGCGAATAATACAAATAATTGTTTATCCTGAATTCATCCCTCGTTTTCGGACAACAATGCGCTTCCGTTCACTTACTTGCAGCTGATTTTCCTTGACATAATATCAGATTTTCCGGTTCCAGAGAAGAATTATTTGAAATATTACTTGTTTATATTAGTGTTCTATCAATGCACAGCGCACAACAATAGCCGATGTTTGTTTCGTGATGTTTCATAGCACAGGAAATTTATCAGATATCCGGAAACCTCCAATTTCACCCATATCGTGTCTACTTTGCTTTAATAAACAAGATCGGAAATGCAGGTTTCTTTATTACAAAGGTTTGCTGAGCCTCAAATCCATTCAAAAAAGGGAGCCAACAAAACGAGCTATACGCTTAAAGGCTCACTTAAATTTCCATCAGGAACTTGAATGAGATAGGTAACCTTTTGTATGCATGTCGATGATTAAGCGCCAACTTTCGTGCCTAATCTCCAGGTGAGGATCCGCCTTTAACCACGCAGGCGACCCCCCATAGCTAAGTTCAATACTGTTTCCTTGCATTTGTCTGCTAACCATTTTTTTAGTGTATTTGGCAACATTCTCGTATCGCTAGTCCCACCCTAGTGTCTTACGGAAGCAGTGTTGATAGGGGTTTTATGATTGGGTCATATCACAGAAAAGAAAAACTAAATCAAACATTTTAGCGTATAAAAGCAGAAAATAATAGAAAAATAATGACTTAAACTGGCAACTACACCCAGTAGGAAAAATATCTGCGTTAAATGTACCTGCAACTAGGTTTTATATCGAAATTTTGAGCTTAAAACAAAACCTTGGAAGATAGGCCTTCTCCCATTTTTTCAAACTCACAATAGCTTCTCGCGCATTTGGACAGATATTGTAGTACGATTAGCCGACAAGCAACCGTATGTTGCTTTAAAAACTAAATTGAATCCAAAATTAAGCTAAGTAAAACTATAAGAAAAATTAGATTAATAAACTGAGCAATAAACTAAAAACTAAACTTAAACTAGTAAAACTAAAAGTACGCGCAGGAAGCTAACAAGGTTCAAATTTTGGAACGCAATAATAAGCATAACTACGCCTAATAAATTACATACAGTAGGTATATAAGTATATGTTATGCCAATAAGGTCGCAGTTGCTAGGGTTTAACTCACTGAACTCCCTGCGATACATCTGCTAAGGTGATTTTTTGTATTGTCTACTTTTTGCTACATTTTAATTTAGGAAATGGAACGGCCGAAACGTTAGCAGATTGCACTATTTCTTGGTATTTACATGGCCACTCCGGTGAGCATTCGCAATCGTACAACGGCGACTAAAAGTAGACAAATATGGCAAAAAGGGTTCCAACATAAAGATAAAAGCGAGCTCTTTCATCTTTTCATCTTTGTCTTAGGGAACTGAAAAAACCGGCCACCCGTTCTGATATTTATCCAACATAACTGAGGGAAGAGATGTTGTACGAAAACGTCTTTTTACGTCAAAAAATCAAGATGTAACTTATTAGGTAAATATTTTCATTCGATCCATAGCACATTGATTGGCGACGTTTGTTCTGGAGGTTAATATTACTAGAAGACGAGTTCTCAGTCAGTTTACAAAGATGGCTCAGAAGGCCATCTGCTTAAAAAATACCAAAGAGCTCATAACATCTGTAAGTGCTTTTTAGAAATATACTAATTTCGTAAATACTTAGAACAGAGTCTAACTTTGTGGAAATTCGATTAAGAACAACAGCACCGTCAAATATACGATGATATTTCAAGACTACCCTGGAACTCAAAGTCCTATATCGTCGCCAAAAAGCAGACGGTGATTTTATGGGAACGATTCTCGCGATACACTCCAAATTCCATGTTTGCGCTTGCATATTTTAAGACTATTCATCTATCTTAATGATCGTTTGGTCTGCTTAAAATGATCCCTCATGAATTGGTTTATGCCTGGGACGTCCTCATTGGTGAATTCGGACGAAATCCACTTTGTCATAGGCAAGGCTCAGTACAAATAAGATGGGCCAAATGTTCTTCGGCAGGACAAGGGATTATTTGCCCTCCCATCGCGCAAGTGTCATTGTGATACATTTCAAGAAGGCTCAAAGTGACTGCTTGGAGTTAAGGGCAACAGTAATGTAAATAATACGCCTCATATATCTCTAATCCCAGCGTTTTGTCCTATGAAAACGGCGTTTATAGGGGGTTTTTATGGGTGGGGAATTAGGATAGGTAGTGGAATATACTTTAAAAGCTGCTATATGCATTCTTATTTTAATGAATTTAGAAATGTTGTTGATTTATATCTTTAGATTTTCCTAATCCGTATTAGCTTTTAACTTATTGCGGAAGAACCGACTATCAAAATGTAGGTCTCTTGAAATTCCTTAAACAACAGAAATGGTAGTTAGGAGGTCGTCTACTTCAATTTACCTTGGGTCCAACTCACCGTTCTGGAGTTCGATTAGTGCAGTCCGCGACGCGAAGCGCCGCGCACACGATCAAGTTACATGCGGAACAACTTACTTCCAGCGGCCGCGGGAAACAAATTTAATTGCATTGTTTCCATTTCACACTTATTTCCACAAGTTTCCTTTACCACCTATCCTATTTCCTCACCCCAAAACCCCTATAACCGCAATTTTCGTAGGACATAATGCTGGGACTATGGATATATGAGATGTACTATTTTAACTACCTTTGCCGGATAAAGTTTAGATTTTGGCAGGTTATGGATGAAATACGCAATCGGGAACCTCTCTGGAACTTACCGTAATTTCATTTTTCAAAGGAGGGGTTCATACTCTTGTGTTCACGCATTATTATTCAGCGTTCAGGTAAAAAAAAAAAACAGGTTATGGGGTTTGCGTAATAATACTGAGATAGCTGATAATCTGACCCTACCTTTCGTCGATATCCACCGTATACCTCACAAAGGAGTAGTGCAGGAACGGTGAATATGCACTGGATTATAGTGAGAGTAGGCTTGCACTGTATCTTCTTCACTCTCGCTCCACTCACCCACCTGTGCCCCGGGGCTAATACACAGAAAAGAAGACCGGAGGCGGGATTGGGCGCGGGATAGGCTGCCTCTCCAATGCGCGCCATAAGAACACCTGGCTAGCCTTCTACTATAATAGTAGTGAGTAATTGTATACCGATCTGTTTCAGGATGTACCCATCCTGGTTGATGCTTTGTTTGCGAGCTAATTGGCACCCCAGTTTTGTATGTTACTCGCTAACTTTTAGTAACAATGACATTTACCGACAAACACATAGCACACACAGAGCACTATGATATGTTTAAGCGCATCAGTTTGCGTATAATAAGGAAAAAAATGCGCTGAGTTGTTGACCTCACTCTCTCCCCCACCACCAGCGTCAGATCACCGTCCTAGTCGGTCGATCGCTTGAAGTGGGATGAGTGCAGTGGTTAACAGGGATGGCGAACCCCTCCAATGACGGCCTCTCATTAACCAGTACTTTATCTACAAGTACCTAAGATTTTACAGCCTTTTTAAACTGAATTCAGTGAAAAGTGAGACAGTTTCTATTTCCCTATGAAATGCTAAATGAACGTTCTGCCGCTAAAAAGAACTATG